AGCTATTTTTAGCAGTGTTCAAGACTCGAGGTCTCGATCTTAAGAGCTATTTTTAGCAGTGTTGAAGTCATGGCCTCTCTAAACAGCCCACTTGAAGCAGCTTCCAAACTCGAAAATCGGAGTCGATTCCTAGACTCTTTTTCAGTTTTGGAATCGAGGCCTCGAGTCTTTTTGCCGTCGATCTTGCCCTGGCCTAATCATTACTCATTATGAAATGAGGCACAATATACACACAAAATAAAATAATATACACAAAGCAATACATACGTCACTGTCACTATATAGAGCCAATCAGAAGCCGGTGTAGTGTGCTCTATTCAGCCCATGTTAGCTAACACAATCAAATCATACAGAAGACTCAGAAGTTATCAAGATCTTAAAATCAACCTGCATTATTTTAGAAAAGATTTTAAGATATTGAGACAATGAAAGTTTTAAATTTCTCCGGGCAAATTGGTCCGTGATTTAGATCTATGTTTTTTGCCGCAACTCACAAAGTTGACAAAAAAGCCCAACTATAAAGATGGACCGTTGTGGGTCACTGGGTGATCCTGTCAACTTGCTCTAATCTAGATCTAAGTCTGATCTCTAGAGTCTAGAGTCTAGATCTAGATCTAGAATCTAGAGAATCTGAATCTAGTATTAGCCTGCACCTTCGGTGTAGTGGAGTTATGATGATTAAATATTCAAAGTCAAAAGCAAATGGATACTACGACTCTACAACAACACTGGCATGTTTTTACTTGGTTGAGAACCGGCTCCTTTCCATGGGAATTCTCCACACCTCGGCGGGTACTGTTTTGGAAGAGTCAAAATTGTATAGGTCTACCTTATAACAGCATAAACAGGAAACCACTACGCGACTGAAACAGTGATATCCCTCTACCTGCTAAATTCCTTTCGATAAATATAACATACGAACATATCTTTCTTTTCATATATCATATTCATTTCCATCAGTGATCTAAGAATGAAACATTCAGATTTCAATTATTTATAAAGAAAACTATTACGAGCATTAATACAAAAAGTAAATGGTTTATTTACGTTACTATGTGCGTTGCTACTCAGAAAAAAACGAAAACAGTGGACAGATATTTAACATGTTTTACATTACTGGATTTCTAGATCTATTACAATTTAGATGAATATAAAAAAAAATGATGGCATAAAAAGATGTACGTATTGTATATATTTAAAATCCACCCAAGAAAAATACTATGACTATTAAAGTACTCTGAAAGCTCAGGCTTACAATTCTACGTGTTTATTCCGATTTGAGGAACTATTTTTGCGAAAACGAAACTAGATTTAGTGTCGAGGATAATGAATTGATCTAAAATTGATCACGTTCTTTTTTCTCATAAATATTTGATGTGATATAATGAATATATAACCCCCCTATATAGTTTGGACATTTTAAAAGTTCTTTTTTATTTCTACTTTATTTCGTTGAGCTGCCTTGTAGCCTCGCAGCAACTCTTCAACAACAAACAAAATGGCGCCCGTTAAAGGTGTGTTGTTGGCACATACAAATTTCCCATTGTATACAGTGCAGTCTCTCGATGAAAGACACTTTCTTGTCGCGGGTGGTGGGGGACAGGCCAAGACTGGTGTTGCCAACGCTGTGGTAAGTTTCTATTTCCTATTCAGTTAATTCAGGTTTCTCTACAGTAAGTGTCTTCCTGGCATATTGAAGTATTGAAGTCATCAGCGGCTTCTTCAACAAGTTCTTCCTTCATTCAACTTTCCTTTCACTTTCTCAGTCTCACTCCCACTCTCAGACTCTACTGTGCGTCATCTAGATTCTAGATCTAGATCTCCATTGTAGATTCTGTTAAAATCATCTGAGGCCTCTTTGAACATAGAATCTAGCAGACCACCGCCACCACTACTCCGGCGGTAGCCAAAGTCCGAGGGCACACTGGGCACTGGGTAGCAATGCCAATCGCCCGCTGCACCTTGGGCCGGAAATCGGCCTCCGCGCGAGGGGTATTTTTTGGGCCGCTCGGAATCAGAAGTGACTCTCTTCTAAGTATAGTTACTAGTTACGGGAAAACTCCTGGACGAAAATAAATGAAACTCAGCAACTAACCAGAGGAAAGGTTTAATAATAACTAACGACATGCCAGTGTACTAGTGTACAATCCCGAACGATTACTAGAACCGGAGATATTGCCGTGTTTGTGCGAATTTCCTCTGCGGTTCGAAAACTAAGCGGAGCTGCGGGTTGATCGCCTACCACTCAAG